CCCCCCGATCTCTAACCCCTGTGTGCCTCCATGTTTCCTCCTTGCAGCAGCTTGCCGGGGAACTGCAGCCGTGAGTGACTAGGAAGACTGAAGCAGTTTTTTTAAAATTTATTTTACCTGAGCCCCCCCCACCCACTGCCTGTTTCATCTTCTCCCAAGACTACCCCCTAACCCCCTGCTTTACGGAGAAGGTATCACACCATTTCTGCACCAGGCACTGCATCTGAAATGCCTACCCCCATTATTATTTTTTTTTTCTACCACATCCCCCCCTCATTACATCTTTATCGATGCACGGGATGATTACCGCCACCGCCCACAAACCCCCCACCCCCCCATGAAGACGACCTGGCTGCGGAATGGGTTTGTGCATGTGTAGGGATAGGCTACGCCTTTGGGAGGGGCATGGCTGGGGCAGGCATGGTAGGGGGTGTGGCTTTCCCGATATGCCACGCCCAGACTCAGCAAACAGACGACCATGTCCCACTTGTACCTTGGAGCAGCTGGGTCACAGCAAGCAAGGAAGCCGCATGAAAAGTCAACCTTCTCCTGTCATTTTGCAAGCGCCTTTAGATCCTGATCGTCTTGCAGCCAGACCATGGTGGCAAGAAGCAAGGCCACGTCTGTCCCTGCAGATACATCGCAGGCGGGGGCAGGGGTGTGTGGCCATCACACATATGTATGTTTCACGTTAATTTCCTGCACACTGCAAGGCTGGGTGCCTCAGGCTCTGTGGTGACGATGGCCTTGCATCGGGTCTCTTGCCGTACAGCTTATTTTGTTATTGCAGGAGATCCGTGGCGTGCAGGTGCACAGCTGATTCCGGCGCGTCCCTTTGAACGTAACTAAAAGCTATGTATCGATTCAGCTCAATGCTCCTGACCCTTCTCTGGGAAGAAAGGGCTTCCTCGAGACGGAGGGGGGTGGCATTTTAGCCGGCACTGAAAGCCTCTCACCTCTACCCTCACCTCGTGCTCAGATATGCATGCTAGGCAAGGCGAGCTCTCAGAATCTCAGGCGGCTGCCGACGCGAACGACCCAGAAAGGCACCAAACGTGATGTCTTCGCCAGAATGCCGCGTCGCCATTGGCCGCGGGGCAAACTCTAGAGGCGTGACTCTGGAATCCGCAGATCTTGATTGCTGTAAAACGTTTTACAGTTTAATGTGATTCATCTGGCATGTCGCTCCTCGCAGATGGCCACAGGGTGCGGAGTTAAACTGTAAAATGAGTTAAAAAGATTCTGACTGTTCGCCTTGCTGCATCCATCTCTGACACTGAAAATCCCAGGCAAGCATTATGGAGGGTTTAAATCAGCCTGGATGTCTCCACTAGAGCGGCACAAAGTGGCTTCTCTGACCTTTTGGGTGCCTAATGGTTGCCACTGGAGAAAATTGTGCTGGTCCTCCAATCAGAATTCAGGTCCCCTCCGTGGCATCCTCTGATTGGCTGCACAAAAGGAAGGGGGAGCTGAATAGGAGGATCATACGTCAGCTATCATCTGCTACTTCTCCCTGACGAAAGTAATTAAGAATGGATGAGTCTGACGCAGAGTTGTAAATAATGGAGGGAAATTTCTGAAACATTGAAAATACAAAATGGCTCCTATCGCAAAGTATACAGGGGATTACAGATGTAACCAGATGAGTGGAGGTGAGAGGTAATAAAGTAAGTGCAAATGGCTGACTAACCAGCAATTTCTCTCTTTCTCCCTCTCTGTTCGTCTGTCTCCCTGTGACTGTGACCCATGACCTTTAACCCTTGGCCTCCTCCAGCATATGCGAGAGGCCGCGGAGCGGAGGCAGCAGTTAGAGTTGGAGCATGAGCAGGCTTTGGCCGTCCTCAATGCCAAGCAGCAGGAGATCGACCTTCTACAGAAGGTAAAAAGACTGCCTTGTACCACGATGGCAGCGTGGGAACAGACACATGTATTGACTGAACCTTGTATTCTTGCTGAAGGGTCAAAAGGCAATTTGTTCTCAAAATGTCTGCTTGAGTATTGCCAGATGTCCTTAAATAGTGTTTGAAAAAAACTCTTTGAATTCTCTTTACATCAATCCATCCATCCCTTTTCCATAATCATAGGGAGCCTGGAGTTTATCCCATGAAGTAAAGGGCACCATGGATGGGATGCCAGTCCATCACAGGGCACGCAAGCACACACAGACACACATTAAGGGCAATTTAGAGTCACCAATTGGAGAGTTTTGTTAGACTGCAGTAGGGAATTTTCGTTTACAAATCCTAGAGCCAAAGTTAGGTTTGCAGGGAGTTATTAACATTGACGAGGGTGTGGTGTGTACAGAGAGATTTAGGTAAAGCCCTCATGCAACTGAGCTCCAGTAAGTTGCCACCATAAGAAGATACATTCAAAATCCCAGAATATGGGTGTGTATTTGATTACCAAATGTTTATGGAATCATTTTTAAAACCGTGCGGCCTTAAATAACAGCCACAAGTTGCATTCTGAGTTTCACCTTTTTTTTTTACCTTTTTAATTATATGTTTATTCCATCTGAACCTTTTTAATATACTTTTACTGTATATAGCATGAAGGTGAATGTTCTTCTGATATAGGTTTGTACCGTTGAGGGGATTATAGATATTCTGTGATTACCCAGAATGTTAAAGGCTGGAACATAGTTTGTGTGGTAGGTAGTGAAGATGTTATAAGATACCTTGGAGCAGGGCTGGGCGATATGGCAAATAAATAATATTGCGATATTTTTAAGCTATATCACGATACACGATATATATCTCGATATCTTGAAATTTCCTCAAAATCACTATATAAATGATAAATTCGGCATAAAATGACACCAATATAATGCTTATATAATATAAATGCTTTTATTTTAAATCAAAGGATAGTATAGCAAACTTTATTTTAAACTAAAGTTTAACATAGAACTCTTTATTTTAAACCAACGTTTAACATAACAAAGTCTATATAGTGGTACCTCAGTTCTCGAACTCATTAGAACTCGAATTTCTTAAAAGTCGAACTAACCAGTTCGGAAAAAATTACCTAGTACTCAATCTGAATCTCAGAAGACAAACCGTGAACGCCCACCTAAGATAACTTGTAAGCGCAGGGAAATGAGTCACGCAGCACGTCTCTCAGCGGAAACAAAGGGTAAAGCTTCAGTCTCAGCCTTGCATTCACTGTGATAGCACCGTGCATATTTACACTAGCTGAATACATATATTTAGACAGTAAAAATACATTTAGACAATAAGACAGTAACAGTAATTATTATTATATAATAAATTACATTTAAAAATAAAGATTTCTTATTAATTATTTTAATATTAATAATAAACCATTAATATATTTAATTATAATAATATTGTCGTGCCGAGCGGGGACGGAACGGAGACAAAGGCGCAGACGTCAGGGTATCGGGGAATACGGGGTTTAATTACAGGTAAGGCAGGCAAAACGCAGACGGACAATACAATGACCGGACTCGGGAAACAAACTGAAATGCAGACGAAATACAGAGGACTAATGACAACAACCAGAAACAGCTGATCACATGGGGATTCCACACAGGGTTAACGAGGGGGCGTGGCACACGGAAGGAGCGGATACAATTATTTTCTTACTTTACAAATTACTGTTTTGATAAATGTCCTTAGATGTGTTTAGTACAGTATATGCTCTTCTTGTTTTATCCGGTTCATTTTGTGTTTAAATGCAAAAAAAAAAAAAAAGGAAAAAAACATATTTAGGTGTAATTGGTTTTCCATTATTTCTTATGGGGAAATTTCGATCAGAACCCGAACTTTTTAGGATTCGATCCGGAGTTCTGAACGGATTAAATTCGAGTTCTGAGGTACCACTGTATTTTAAACCAAAGTTTAATATGGCAAACTCTTCATTTAAACTGGGAAACTGCAACTTTACAGTTGTGACAAGCAATCAGTAACAAGTTCTCTATAGGTTTTGTGCCAAAAACATAAGCCTGTTGAAGTTGTCCGCCTCCATCTCCGATTAATGTCTTTGCGGGTTTCACTTATCTCCGCGGATTCGCTTCTCTCCGCTGTTGGTCAAGCACAAAACCCGCATGCGGAGAGTTTTCTGGATGGGCGGGGGAGCGAGCTGTTTGCTTTGACGGGGCAGCAAAGCAAAACTGGAAAGCGAAGTACATGCTGTCTATTTACCAATAACATTAGGATTTACACTCGATGTTCACGATATAGTCATTTACTACATCGCACATGGAACAAGCCGAGATACATCGAGTATATTCGATATATCGCCCACCCCTACCTTGGAGTTAGTGAGTCAGGTCTCCACACTCTGCCGCAACTATCTAGCTGCTGGTTGTAGCACCTAGGCGACTAGAAATCAGATAACTCCAGTTGGCCAGGAGTTAGGAAAACTGAGCTGGATTTGAGGGTATAATAGAGCCAGCAATCACACTGGGAGAGAGGGTAAGGGAGAAGTCAGCATTAAGGACAGGCATGGTTAGATGGAGGCATGTGATGCAGCTGATCAGTAAGGGAATGGGTAAAGATCAAGAGCCATGAATTCACGCTTTGGGTGTCAAACTGGTAGCTTGTCTTCTGAGTGATCCCATCCCACTGCAGTGTGCAGCAGAAGAGCATTGATTTGCCATCTCACAGTCCTGTAGCACTGGAGTTCGGGAGCTCCTGTCATGATAAGTCAAGCAATCCTGACAAATAGGACTGATTTTCTGTGTTGTAAATCCACAGAACCGGACAGAACTTGTTAACGCAACCAGTCGTGGTCGGTACTGCAGTAGCTAAGGGACTTGACATGTGACTGACCGGCATTTACATGCCAATAAGGGCACTGCTATTGTACCCTTCGGTACCCTAATGAACCTTAATTACGTTAGCCAACAAGCAGATTCTAATTTGTTAAATAATAGAAGCAAAAAAGATGTTTTGCTGTGTGACGATTAGTAATTCATCAAGACTGGCCTCCATGAAGCTCCTATAAATAAATCAGCATCAATGAACTTTCCATTGTTACGTACAGATAAAAAGCTAAAATAATCATAATACTACTAAATTACACTTGATTAAAAAGAAAAACAAAACACATGTTCCTTATCTATCCAACACTTTTGAGTATAGCTCTTCTTTCAGTCTAGACGTCATGTGTAATAACAGTTTTTCCCAGTGTCTCCTAGATACTATGTTCTCATTTCCTGTGTCTGTCTGAGGCCCTGAAAAGGATGTATATACAGGCACAGCTCTTAACGATAATACAGACAGAAACTCCTCCATCGATTACATTATTTTTTGGCCCGGTTTCTCTGTTCTCATGTGAAGAGTGCTTGTGCAGCTGGATACATGCTGAGTCAATGCCCGCCTCATGGGGCACAAAGAGCCGCTTGCCAATGGATTTTCTGCCTTTAGCGATTGCTAATCCCTATTGGTTGAGGTTCAAAGTTGCTGGACTGCTGAGGCTTAGCTGAAGACGCCCGGGCAGGAGATGCTTGTGGACCTTCTAGTCAAATGCAGTTTCCTAACATTTCCCCATAAAGTGTTTAAGTTGTGGCAATATTTAGACTGACCCCCCTCCCTTTCAGAATGTGCCCCATGCTTCCTAGGTGATGTACACAAACAAATTTACACAACATTTATACTTTTGAAATTAGAGGCGGTTTAGAACCACCATCTGACCTGAAGCGTCTGTCATTGGTTAAAGAAAGAAAGGACACACACAAGTGTGAGTGAGCTACTAACTTTGCACATGGCTGCAGTGATGTGACATGTCTCTCTCTGGCTCTCTCTCTTTTTTTCTGTCACTCTTTCTCTCTGAAGGCTCAGGTTGAAGCCAAGAAGGAGCATGAAGGTGCCGTCCTTTTGCTAGAGGTAAGCCTGGTGTCTTTTAAGGTATATCTGTTGCTGTAGGTGAGGTTTCTGGGAGGTGGTGGCTTTGGGGGTTTGGCTTCAGGGAAGTATGAAAGTTTCAGGTCTTGGGAAACGTATCTAACACTATTGCTGTGAATGCATCACAGACATACAACACAAGCAAACACCTGCAGTACAACAGATCCAGACAGGAGAGGACTTACCATAAAGCAAGTGCAGGCAGCCACCTGGGCCTCATGAAGATAGAATTTCCAAAAGTTAAGTCTAAAATAATATGATCACATCAATTATATCAATATGTCTGTTATTAGCATTTTTAGTTTTCAGGATAGATAAAGTTGCCCCCCATCCCAATTGTAATGGACTATTCCTACTTTCTGGTGTTATTCTACCCACCTTTCTTTTCACACTGGAGTCTACCGGTTGTGTCACCACCAAGCAAACTGGCACAAAGTAGCCTAACAGAACAAACCAGCGCAAAGATACAAGATTAACATTATATATCCTGTGACTCTGATACTATCCTGCTAAAGTAGTATTGTGAACAGACGTAGAGAGAGCACAATTAAACAAACATAAATTCAAGACCTTTGCAAATGAGAAAATGGTTAACCTTCTTAAAGTTGGCCAATTGATCCACTGGCGTGATGCCCCCCTCCCCTTTTCAGTGAATTTTACCGACAGCACTCCCACCCCCACCCTGATCAGTAAATTTAATCGCTGGCACCCTGTGCTTTGATTAGCATATTATTGATATTCTAACATTTTTAATTCCCTCTAATTTCTCATTCAGCTCCAAAAAAAGCTCAAATGGTCCATTTAACAGGCCCCTTACCCAAGTCCGCCTAGGGCCCCCAGAGATGTTCTGTTCCTGGATCCAGAAGGCCATAATGATTCATCTAGGTACAGCAGCTTTTGTTCCAAAATAACATTTTAATTTTAGCAGCATTGAGAAAAAACCGAAGGCTCCGTTTATCAGCCCCAAGCCAGGGGGACTCCGTGTTGTATTGTTATTCTGAGAGCTGATTGGCTGTGCAAAGGGAAGACGATAGGCGTTGGTGTTTCAAATTAGTGCATTTAGCAGCAGAGCATCTTTGCCAGTCATTCTCGCCAGCTGCTGCCCGGCGTCGCCGCCTTCCTGTGCTCATATTTCCAGTCACACGCAGCTCCTCGCAATTACGGACGATCCATCGGCGAAATGAGAAAACGGAAGCGCTCCGGTTCCTCTTCTCGTATCGTCACACAGACACGTGGAGCGGACCCGTCGCACGGGGTGAAAGCTCTCCTACAGATTTGTCGCGTTGTGAAGCACGGTGTTGATGAGCATACATTTCCCACAGCGGGCAAAAATAATAGGTTGTCCACTCCAAAAATTTAGGTCACACCTGATGTACATCCAAGCATGCATTCCAAAGGGAAATAAACGGTTCAGTTTCAAAATGGATATAATTTAAAATCACTCCTTCACTGAGATTTCCTCCCTACTTTTCAGTGTGTTCAGTATTATTTATGATTTTACTAATCTTTCTGCTTGTGTTTGTTTGCTTCAGTACACATTTCCAGATCTGTTTGCTAAGCCGTTAGTGTTTTGTAATATGATCTGTACTCGTATATTGTAGCCTTTGAGCTTTCGGATGAGCAATAAGGAATTGTGTTTCTGTCGCTTTTATGGATTTCCATGACAGTGTGAGTGTTCATATGTAAATGTGCTTTAATTTCTTTTCTTTGCATCTCTGGTCACCGTGTCATTGGTGTGTTTCTATTTATAAACAGAGCCACTTGGACAGCATGCAGGTATTTCAGTGTTTCGTTTCTCCCTTCTGACTTTGTCATCTCTCTAAATCTGAGCAAAGTCCCCCAGTTTATTTTAGCTTGCTGGAAGTGGACCATGACAGATTGAGCTTAAAATATATAACCATCTGGTATTTGCTGTTGCGATTATGAGTGAGATTAGCATGTACGTCCACCTCTCAACCTTCATTCTTAATTGGTTTTCTTCATAAGCTAAATTTAATTTGGGGGATGTGGCAGTTGTGTGTGTCGTTTATTATGTGATTCAAGAACTGAAAAATCAGGTTCCCCCCCCCCTCCAGAAGAGAACGTGTGTCCTGCTGCGGGGGTGTGCCCATGCCTTGCCGTGCTGTGTGCTGATCTGTCCCCAGAACTATCAGTTCTTGGATTTAACCCACCCCTGAACCTAGTCATCCATTGTGTGTGTGTGTGTGTGTGTGTTTATGAACTGCAGTGCCCCCTGCTGCCCCTGGCACGCATCCCCACTACCTCACTCCCGGCCCGCCAGGTCCTGCACTCGGTGAGATTAAGCTGGGCAGATGTGCAGTTAGACCGCAGCTCAGGCGTCATATGGAGAGGACGCGTTAGCGGAGCTGCCAGGCTCTGGTCTCGGGGGGAGCAGGTGTGCGAGCTGCAGTTTCACTGGATCCTGCCTGGCGGCGTGAGGCCCTGGAATTATGTCAATACATGGCACATCAACATACAGGGCAGGGAGCCCAAGACGTTGCATTTGATGTCGATTTAGATTCTTTGGTTGCCATGGATACCTCTTAATATATAATCATGCTAGTACAGAGTAATGGAGATGGTATGTAGCTCTGGTTTTTTGTTAAATTGAGAGTGGCCTTATCTGGCCCTCTGCGAATCCTCCCCAGGTCTGCCTGCATGCGACAGGTTGCCTTCCCACATGGCGTCGGCCACAAAGGGCTTAGATCAGGGCTATTCAACTCACGGTCCTCAAGGGCCAAGCCCTGCTGATTTTCCAGCCTTCCATCACCTGTGAGCCAGGTGTGAAGACTCTGACCAATCAGAATCAGTAATTATTAAACTAACTACCTGGGAGAACTGAAAACAAGGCCTGGATTTGGAATTGAGGGTAGCCGGTGAATCGGTGAATAGCCCTGGCCTAGATCAAGGGTGGCCAACTTTATCCGCAAAGGGCTGGTGTGGGTGCAGGTTTTTGGGGTTAGCTGTAGGTCAGCTGTTCAAACCCAGGTGTGAGGACTCCTCAGCCAATCAGTCCTCTAATTAGTAATCTAATTAGGGAGTTGCAGCAAAAACCCGCATACACACCGGCCCTTTGCGGATAAGATTGGCCGCCCCTGGCCTAGATTAACTGTAGGCAGATTCTTGGCCTTTCAGTAACGGACAGACAAGATCCTATTTTAACAAGTGGGAAAAACCCTGAATTTTTAATTTTAATTCAGACAGCAGGAGTGCTACTGTGTTAGCATTTCTGTGCTAGTGCTGGGTATCAACCACCAAACCAAGAAAATGAAGCATCGGGGAGCCTTCATTCAGATTCCACTTAGTCTCCAACGCACACTGGTTAATGATTTCAACTGAGTTCGAAGATATAATCTTGTACATTTATTTTTTTAGTAGACACATTTTATCAAAGTCAGTAACTGATCTTGCAAACAGAACTACAGATTCCAAACCTGCAGAATTACACACTGCCTCTTTTTTAATTCCTCTAATTGGGGAATGAGGTGTTTTCGTCATCCTGTAAGATGAAAGGAGGGTGTTCGCTGTGTCCTCCCTGGCAGGTCTCTGCTTCAGCCTCTGGGCCCAGTCTCTTTCATGCGAAGAGAAGGCTCTGGCCCATCATTAATTTATAGCAGATTGGCAGCTAACTGAAGCTGGAGGTATGCTGCATTTTGGGGGGGGTGTAGGGTACATAAGTGGAAGCCCCCACACATGCTGTTTTCATCTCGATTTCCCAGCCAACCGTATCCGGTTGTCTTCTTACAGTGTTGTGGTGGCTTTCGCTAGGAGAGGGTGACACCCAAATACCCAGTTATGCCAGTAACCATGGCAACGCCCTTTCCCCTCCCGCCTACCCCCTTCTGCCCCATCTCCCCAAACCTCAGCCTAACCTCACCTAAGATCCGGCAAGGTTACTATTCTCGTGACCCCGCAACTTGAGACTGCATGATTATTGTTTTCTTTTGTTTAATTTTTTTTTTTAAATCTTCTTAACTCGCAGTGCCTTTATTTCATTTAACTTTGTTTTTTCTTTTCGATGGAGTTGAGGACCTTTCCCCGCCACTCGAACACGTTGCAGTTTTTGGTACGCACGCCTCCTCGAAGCGCAAGGCCGCCACGCAGAATCAGCCGCGCCATCCCGTAGATTTGCATGTCACTTGGCGACCCCATGTGGACGGGGCCGGTGCTGTCTGTTCCATACTCTGAGCACATCCACTTCACGTCAGGAGAGGCTGGTTATACTCCTTAAATGATAATGTTTCGCTCATAGGATCGGGGTTTGACGCAGACAGTGATGTTACTCGCCAAGCTGCTCTGGTTTTTCGGCTGTGGGTTTGGTCGGGTGCCCATCGCAGCTTTGCTCACCGCTGCAGCTCACTCCACTTTCGCTCCCTTCTGCCCCCCCTGTGGCCCGGGTAGGCCAAAGTCCGAGAGCTGGAGGAGAAATGCAGGACCCAGAGTGAGCAGTTCAACCTCCTGTCCAAGGAGCTGGAGAAGTTCCGCCTGCAGTCGGGGAAGTTCGACCTGTTCACCTCTGACCCCCTGACCATCTGCGAATCGCCTGACTCCCCCAACAAGTCCCTCTCCCAGCTGCTTAACGGACTGGCCGCCCCGGTCAGCAAAGGTGGGTGTCCAGTGCGAGGGAGGTTCCGGAAGCCGCTCCCTCCGTCACGCATTCAGATCCCAGGAGAGGATCTGCTGTTGTACTCTTGGGCTAATTTAACCGCATTGCGTTAATGTCTCCACATTATAGGTGCACACAGTGTGCCATTTTAAGCTAAGTCACTTTGACTGTAAGTATATATTATACTGCCTTAAGCTCAAGCTGTCTTTCGCATAGAGTGCATTAGTAAGCAAGACGGATTTAGATAAATAAGAGCATAAACCTGATGTACTTAACTATAAGGGTGCTGCAATGCATGCTGGAAAATACACCATGAATGATCAGAGCTCATAGAGGGAGATCGATCCACTTCTGCATTCACTATGCATTTGTTTCGACGGCTAACAATTCTGAGGTACGTTGAGCAAGAGAAAATATGCAGTGATTTTAAACTGTTTATATTGTCATTTTAGTGGAAGGTCCATTAATCTGGTCCTTTTCCAAACATCACGCTCTTTTCAGCAGTTACTTTTGCTCTAGATTTAATGTTAAAATGTGTAGATGAGCTGTTTATTCTGAGTAAGGTTCAGAAACTTGACAGTTTTTTTACAGCTTCTGAGTCTCTTGTTGTTCTGCTTGTATGTCTTATGTGTGTATATAACTTGCTATAAAACGCTCTGCTCTTATCATCCTGGCTTTGCTGAGATGTGGTGCTCTGCTTTGTAAACTGTTAGAGCAGTTTGAATGACTCTGTGGCATATTATTATTATTATTTTTTATTTCTAAAATAATGTCAGTAACTCTGTAATACTGCTTTTTTTGAGTGAATATGTAACCCCATTTCCATACCTGATGCTGTTGTATTGGGGATTGCACTATATGCCTTGTATACGCTATACACAGAGACTGGGAATGAAATTCTGTGTACCGATCTGCAGGCAATGAGAGCCCCACACACAGGACGGTGATTTCCGAGTTCATTCGACCGCTCCACATCTCTGGAGACAAGACCGAGCTCCTGTCCGTCAAGCCAACGTTCCTCAGCCGGAGTCGGCCCAGCAGCCCCCGACAGGCCGGCCTCCCAGAGGTGTGTCCGATGCCCCTCCCCCCCTCCACTCATGTCATCCCACTGCGGGTCCTGCAGGTACCTGCTGTAAGAATACCAGCCTAGTGACCGAAAAGTTGCAGGTTCTCAAAGGGATGCAGCTGTTGTCCCATTTAGAGGAGATGCCTTATTGCTGAAGTACAGCTTTAAAGTACTTCACATCTAGGGGCGTAAATAAGTAATGACAGAATTGTGGGGACAATATCGCAATTTCATAGTTTAAGGTGGCAGGATGCTTAGCAGTTCGGGATGTGGACTCACTGAGGGTTGTTGGTGGTGTTCTGCTGTGTCATTGAGGAATGTACTTAATCTGCACCCATTTATCCATCCATCTGGTGCTTAATCTAATGTTTCCAGTATGTAACACCTGCAGTGAGTCAAGCCTTCATTCAGTCACGCAGTGTGGCCACGCCCCCCCATCTGAGTTTTAGCACACCTGTGACCCATGACCCATGACCTCATTACTGGTTAAGTATATCAGGATCTTGTTTGCAGTCACTGTCTGAAAGGTATTGCGTGTTTTTCCCACCATACTGAGCGTTTCATTCCTGGATCACCAACTCTAAATTTCGACCTTTGCCTCTTCTGTGGGTTTTCTTGCTTTCTTCTTGTGTTTTGGCTTTTGGTGATTTTTTTTTTCCCGTGTTGATCCTGTTTTTTGTTTATATATTTTTAATCTTCTACTTGTGTTGCTGACTGCAGATTTCAGTTTACAATTTGGATTTGGTTTGTCCCGTGTCTGCCCTGCGTAATTCTGTTTGGATTACAATTTATCGGACTACGTTTTGGTAATAAAATCTAGGATTCTGCAACTGGATCCTCTGTCATCTATAGACCAGCTGTACAGATGAGAATGATCATCTAAACAGCTAAATAATGAATAGTAATGAATAATGACTAATACGACTCATACAGTAAAAACTGGAATGGTGTGTGTGTGACGTGTATTTTAAGTACATATTTTGGCATTATCATTTAGCCGGGGAATACAGAGAGAGACCTCTTGATATGCTGTTCTTGCTGTTATCTGATTAGAGCTGAAGCTTAGTAATGTACAGAGAATTGCTGTATCTGTGAATACACACAGCAAGACTCAGAGCACAGTGAGTCAGCCATAAAACCTTGCGTTTCTGGGGTGTCAGACGAGAAATCTGTCACTGGTCCCAATCAGCTGTTCCAGTCATTTGGCGCTTTCATTGATAGCTTGTAGTAAATCCAGCTATAGTGTGATTCTCCCCTCTCCCATGCTAGTTCAGTATGGAGGACTATGATGTGTTGTCTCACTGGGTCCCTCTAGAGAGCTCACAGGAAACTAAACTTTTCTTATGTGTAAGAAAACGTTAAGCTTTATTAATAAAGCAAATCTGCGATGAAGAATCATGAGTCAGAAATAGGACCTCAAGGCCCCCTTGGTGTTTGGGCTTTATCTACATTTTGGCTTTTGTATCAGGATGGGCCAGCAAATGTGGCTTGCAGTTACAGTTTTCAGTATCTTTCTTAACACTGTGAATGGATTGTTAGTACCATACTAGATGTACTGATTTCTGACAGCTTACTGTTTAAAGAGAACACAGTTTTCTGCATTTTAATAAAACTGAATAATTGCAGGTACTTGTGGCAATAGTCAGATATTAACAAATTTTAAAGAGGCGGCCTCATCATGGGGGAAAATTCTACAGACCACACTTTGTGGGATTTTAGCTGGTGTTCTGGGTAGAAGTGGTAACTTCTGAAATGATATACTGAGAACTGATGGGAAACCTAAAAGGTTTAGCTCTTCCAGTCTCCTATGTTTCTTCTGTGTGTGGTCCGTGACAATAATAAAAAATTAAAGCTCTTTTGGTCTTCATCCCAATCACCCTGCTAGATAATACAGCAGTCACTGGCTTGCGTATAGCAAAGGGCTGCGTTACATCTCCGTTCCTTTCGGACTATTCAGTAAGAAAAGAATTGAATTATTGGATTGCATAGGGTGTTTCTGGCAATGTGGATTGGCCACCTATCCTATCTCCCACCTGTCTTTCAGTCACTGTTTACAGTGATATCGTATGCTAAGGAATTCCCTGCTACACATGTGCCATGTATTGATTCAGTGTGGTTTTATGCAGCCGCTTACTGCAAAGCTGACGCAGCTAGCGCAGTCGGTGTGCAAACGTCAGTGAATCTCTAATCTTCAGCGGCTTCACTCGGATTCCTTTGTGGCCCTCAGCTGATGGTTGATGGTTTTTACTGCTCGTTCACATCCTGAGAACAGCCCTCCCATGGTTAGCCCAGTGACATCTGTTTCTTCTTCACTTGATAAAATATTTTATGCTTCAGATTCCAGTTTTTTATGCAGTTGATTTTTCTTAAGCTGTACTTAAGCTGGGCTAAATTTAGCTAGAGTGACTGAAAAAAAAATCTGTCTTATTTCAGAGTTAAGATGTTAATATATCTGTTTTATTCCCAGATGGACAGTGAACTGAGTCCTACCACTAGGCCCAAGGCACGGTACACGGGCAAGATCCGCCTCTGCATAGCCCGGTATAGGTGAGTGGGATGCGAATCTGTGACAGAACAGTAGGGGGTGCTCACTCCTCCTCAACAGAGCAATGCTGTGAGGACTCTCCGCCCCCACACTGCAGTCATGGCTCTCAAGAACTCAGAGTTGCTCACGCCCCCTGCGTCTGTCCACCTGCTAATACCCAGCATGCATTTCCCATATGCATCAGTAGCCTTACTGGTTCGTGCACATTGCCCTTATATGCAGGGATGGACATAACTGGTACGCAAGTACACATTCACCTTTAAAAACGATACATGCAGCAATCGATTGTTAGTAAAGGCGCAAATGCGTACTTATGTGCATCTGTGCTGCTATGACAAGAAAATACCTTGCATTTTAAGCTGTATACTGCAAATGAAGTAGAGTTAGCATATAAAGATTAAATTGCATTATAGTTTGTTTTCATATCAGCGCAAATGCACATAAAATAAGTATGCATTTACACTGTTACCACTATCGATTGTTGCATGTACCATTTTTGAAGGTGAATGCGTACTTGCGTACCAGTCATGTCCATCCCTGCTTATATGGCTTTTTGGTAACTAGTGTTCTGGAACATAAATAGATAAACCTGCTTTTACAAAGCTGCAGTGAATGTTGCTTATTTGGGGTGACATGACATTTGATGTCAGTTACACTTAATCATTGGATATTTCAACTAATTGTCATTCATGCAACTCTAGTGCTATGTAATGTGCAGCATTTGAATGTGTTTTTTTTATATTATCTGTTATTGTTCCTCTATATATTTGTTTATCATTCCTATATTCAATATGTTTACCATTTTTTTAGCCACAAATCGGAATTATCAAGCTGGCCTGTGTGTTTTGTTGCTAGGCTGCATTGCATATTTTGCATAGTGTAATAAGGATGTTTTTCTTCGATAAGTTATAACCCTTATGATGGACCGAATGAGAATCCCGAAGCAGAGCTCCCCCTTGTGGCGGGGAAGTACCTCTACGTCTACGGGACAATGGATGAAGATGGGTTCTACGAAGGTGTGTCCCTGTACACCTGCATTCATTGTAGTGAATCAGCACTGAACCCTCTCAGCTGTGGTTCTAAATATATAAACTTTTATTGAATTTTACAGAAAGCAACAATTATGCTTATCTTGTAGCCACCAGCACAAATGCACATGCTACTTATCAGTTTGATTCATAATGTCTGCACTAGGGAAACACCAATAGCTTGATATGTAATTAATGTTACGGGCAACAACTGTAAATGCTGAATTGTCATTAATGGCAAGTGAATCGTGTCATTGTCACAAAGTTTGTTTCCACTAGTTCTGAGACTTTTCCCACCTGTGCCTCCCAGGAGAGCTGCTGGACGGCCAGAGAGGCCTCGTTCCCTCCAACTTCGTGGACTTCGTCCAGGATGAGGAGATGCCTCCAGTGCAGCCAGTGGACGGTAGTAAGGAGGTGGGCTACCTCAGCCACGGCAGCGTGGGGCTGCCAGGCCTGGGCGGCCTGCTGCAGGACACCAAGCTGGACGGCCCCGGACTGGGCCTCGGCATGGGAATGAGCCTAGCAGACCTGCCGGGCACCTGCAGCAATGGGACGGGGACCCTAGATGTCAGCATCGACGAGATCGGCGAAGACATTGTGCCTTACCCTCGCAGGATCACGCTGATCAAACAGCTAGCCAAGAGCGTGATCGTGGCCTGGGAGCCGGCGCTTGTGGCCCCAGGCTGGGGCAACATCAGCGCCTACAACGTGTTGGTGGATAAAGAAGTGCGGGCCACGGTGCCTTTCGGCGCTCGGACCAAGTCGCTCATCGAGAAGCTGAACCTGGCCACCTGCACGTACCGCGTGTCCGTGCAGTGTATGACAGAGCGCGGCCCCTCTGACGAGATGCGCTGCACGCTGCTGGTGGGGAAGGACGTGGTGGTGGCGCCGTACTGCCTGCGCATGGACAACATCACACAGGCGTCTGCCGAGCTCTCCTGGATGCCCAGCAACAGCAACTACAGCCACTCCATCTTCCTCAATGACGCCGAGTATGACGTCGTCAAGGCTTCTAACTACAGGTACCAGTTCTTCAACCTGAAGCCCATGATGGTCTACAGGGTCCGGCTGGTGGCCCAGCCCCACCAGATGCCCTGGCAGCTGCCCCTGGAGCAGAGGGAGAAGAAGGAAAGCTCCGTTGAGTTCTGTACCCAGCCTGCAGGTAAGCAGCCCTGCACGGTGTTTCTCCTGGCTGCTCCTTCTGGGTGTCACACTTGTCATTTGCTGTTTTTCTACTGGCTCCTCCCACTAGAAGATCTCACTGGCCTATCAGAGGCATCCGCTGCTTTCATTTGCTATGTCAACCTACCATTTGGCTCCTCTCCTCTTGTTTGCTTATAGATCCTCCCCCAGGCTGTCCGTCATTCTTGTTCTTTTCCCTCATTTGCTGCCTCTATCCTGGATCACTTCTCTTACATTTTGCTCCTCTACATCATGAACTTTGCTGCCTTCTTATGCATCTAAAATGGCACAGCAGGTACAAGTTTTAAAATAAAAGGCTGAATTTGACTCAACCGTCCACTTTGACTGGCTAGCTGTCAAATTCTAGATTTGCACTGAGACTGTGCAGAGAGAATTGCTCCTCTAGTTTCTGGCAAACTCACTCTACTTGTTTATCTCTTTGCTTAAAATATGCATTTTTTTACTTCAAAGATGCTAACTAGCTAGTAAATAAAGTTGCAAGATTTATCTTTCAAGAGACTGCCATTATTAAATGTGCATTAAAATAGCAGACAATGCAATGTCCCAGCAATTTTTTTTAATTCCCAAATTGTTGCTTTCAGCAGGGATTGGGGATTAATGGTACCCTTCCTCAAAGAATAGATATATCGGCATAGTTTCTAGCTGTGGATATTGAGTCCAGTGCAGTCCCCAGCTTTTACGACGACTTCTTCCTCAGCGATTCTGCAGCAGAGCTTGTCATTTAGGTACCTTGAAAAATGGTGATCATTTTCACAGTCCACGTGGGCCAGACCTGAACAGTCCTTTGCTTATTGTGTAACCCCATCTCGCTCTGACATTATCACATTTAAACTGTCCGGTAAAGGATTCGCTTTCGAGCTCCTCCACGTGTGTTACCTGATCCGGCAGACACCTCTGCGCTCCTTCTCCATTTTCAATGCGTACTTTGGGTTCATGTCCTCATTACTTTTTAGTTTTTTTTTTTTTTTCAATAAAAAACAAAACACTGACACATAAATACTCACGCACAAAAGCGCATGAGTGTGCTGACAGATGGCAAGCATTGTCCAAGATGAAAAGGAAACGGATTGAACGTGGGAAAGAGAAACACCAGGTGTGTGCGAGTTGTTTGTCTTCCTCACCGGGATTCCTGTCCCAGGAGACTCCTGCGAATAAAGAGGAGATGTTCCGGTCGCTGTACGCTGCCACATTGACTCATTCCACGTATCTCCTGCGTGGTCTGTGGCTGAACTCTCCTTTATTCACTCTTCAAACTGCACGGCTGTGCTGCAGCATTCTTTTCCCACTTCTCATACAGTTTTGCTGACTGAGCCAGACTGGTTGAACTTTGTACTGTAGCAACTCTCTGTTGTTCTGGTTTTATCTGAAAAATAGTATTTATGTTCACCAAATTTGACTACTTGGCAATTTTACAATAATCTCTCCTCATAACAGGTTTCGGTAAAAGATGACAGATCCTCTACCTCAACAATTCCTGCACAGCATTACCCAGAAGTAGTGTCTTAAACATATACCTTCTGCATGAATTCTGTAATTGATGATGAGTACTTTGTAACTGCAATAGATTGACTTTAGCCATCCAGGGACAGAATCATCGTAGCATCAACTGGAAAATGCAAATGGACGGACTTGGTTGTTGACATTTTTACACTTCATCCATTTATGCGCATGAATATTTCCACCAAAGCGTTTCAGAAGTGTCTTATTTGGGTGTTCCACACCAGCAGCCCCTCCCTTAATTCAAACCCTAAGGCCCAATCCCAATTCTATTTTAAACCCCTTTGCCTACCCCTCACCCCTTCCCCTTGCCCCTTGAAATGAAGTGGAAAGGGGTAGGGTTAAAAAATTTCCCCTAAGAAATGGGACACCACTACTACACTGTTATACGTCATCATCCATTGTCACTACCTCCTAACGTTACGTCAGAGGACATGCGCCGATGTTTATGACAAATTCCAAGATGTCGCCATCAGTCATATCACTTGCCTGGATTGCAGCGATTTTTTTGCATTTGTCTTCAGCAAATCACGCGAGGCGAAGAAGACGACGATACATT